CTGTTTGGATGACCTCGTGCTTTGTTGCTGTGGGGTCTTGTTGAGAGATAAACAGGACACGTGAACGTCACAGATCAATTTATGCTTCGTAAACTGTTTAGATCATTAGGGAAGAAATGACACATACATTTTAGGTATTGCAGAACACAGACGTTTGACCTAATCTTCATACTTTTTGTGTAATTTTTAAGCTAAACAACACATTAGTAACACAAATGTCAAAGAGCATTTTCGTTATAACAAAAACGTGTGGAGAAAACAGTTTTTTGTTGCATCGTACTGAATCCGAAACCCTCAGCTCCAGATCCTGGGTGAACTAATCCTGGTGATGTGGACGAGGTGTGGGGCGGTCTTGGCCCAGAGCACTGACCTCCTGGAGCGTTTTACTGAGATCACCAGAACTCTGTTCCACTGCTAATAGCAGGGGGAGGGAGATTTTCCAAGGCTACTCATGCACCGCAGGAGATCCCTGTCTCATCTGTGGCTTCTCCTCCAGTGGTTGAGATTTTTTTTTACCTTGGACAGTTTTTTTCCAGTTTAAGAACAGACGGTAATTAAAAAATGTAGAAAATGCTTTTTTCTTCACTTAATTCATTTTGGTAATCACACAAAGTTTTCTTTATGGAGTACTTGAATCTAGAGTACTAGACTCATGAATCTCTAACCAGAATAATCACTGTGAAAAACCATATCATGTTGCTGCTGATCTGTTTCATGTTGCTGCTGATCTGTTTAAATGTTGGTGTGTTCGTGCGTGCACATCTGCTCACAGACTCATGTTCATGTTTGTGCTGATGTTCAATGTTTTTATGTTATGAGTGCTTAGTTTATATTTAGTTGATGTTTTTCTTAGTTCATATCTTAGATGTTATTACTGTTTTTCTTATACATTTTATTGTTGGATGTAACTGGGACCTTGTGTACATAATTTCGCTCCACCACATGTACCACATGAGGTGCGAATGACAATAAAGAAACTCTGACTCTGACTCTGACTCTGACTTGGACATTCTTTTTAAAACCTTAAACTGTTGAAGTTTGAAGTCATTATAGTGTGTTAAGATCAAAACAGAGTTGAAACTAATAATTGGAGTGTTAAACAAGTTTGGACATCTTTTAAATGACATAAACTGGCATGTTACATGTCCTACAGCATTATATTTACCTCTAAAAAGTCAAATGTTGGCACAGTATACAATTTCAAAGCTGCAGCACAAGTCCTAAAAAAGCATAGAGATTTTTATTTTACATATGTCTTAGAGCGATAATTCAGAATGTACCAATGGACTTTGTAAAAAATGACAACATCACTATAATCCGGCAGAACAGTTAATGAAAAAGAAGAGAACTGATATCCTGATGCATGCTCAATAATCCAGAGAACTGATGTTCCAGTTTTACTCCAAAAGGCTATAAGAGGGTGACAAATGTAAAGTGATTCAACTTAACACAGTAAACGCCCATCATGGATTGGTTATGCCCACAGGCAATTGTTATGAATCTAAACTCCATTAAAATCATCAAATGATGATATATGTTATATTTTGAACTGTTTTATATTTTACAACAAAGTCTTGTATTTAAGAAAGAAAGCAAATGTGATTAAAAGGAATAAATGGTGTCTTAATTATACCAGCTTTATTTAGACTGGTCCTAGGAGGTAAAACATATTTTTCTCTAAAATAATTAGGTAAAAATATATAAACAAACTGATTAACTGGACCAGAGTTTGAGAAAAAGGGAAAGAGACTCCTTTGTGATTAACAATACGTTTAGCAACAAGAAATACAATCTGACACTGACCAGAAATACGTATTTTTATTTCAAAACCTAGTATTTTTTTTATTTGTTTCATTCGCAATTAAAATAAATAAATACAAAATTGCCAGGAAAATTCTTCATATACCCTCATGCAAAACTCTGGCTTGCAGACTCAAAACAGTTGACTCGTAGATGGCATTTCTTATTATCTCAAAAATGCTGCAAACATGCAGGTTGAAGCAGGAGAGAACATCAAAACAGATTTAAATCTTGCTGTGGGCACACACACACACACACACACACACACACGAGTGCTGTATTTCATGATTTATTTCAAGGTAAGCAAATCATACAAATGTTTTATCATGAATTGTTTTTATAATTGCACAAAACATACTTAAAAGAGCCAATAAACTATCAGACAAATTAAAGATGTGTGTATGAATTAAGTAATTCACAATTACGTGTTTGATTGTTGCAACCCAACATATACTGTACTGTAGGGAATGCAAAAATAAAGTAGAATATTAGTGTTAGTAAACTATTATTCATAATAATTTGTTTAAAAATGGCTAAAGCGCCAGAAGTCCTTAGAAAACTACGTCACTCTGCAAAGGAGCAATACGTGTTGCCATGGTTACCTCGCAGACCGTGGTGCTCTCAGTCTCAGTAAAAGCAGCGTCTCTCTCTCTCTCTAGTCTTTTTCTCCCGATGGGAGCAGAGAGGCAGACGGTCTTCTCTTCTGACTGAATAGGTGGTGATAAAGAGTTCGCTCGCGCTGGATTTAAAAGCCTCTCGTGCGGATAATTACAGGAAGCTGAGCTCAATCCAAGCCACAAACTGGGGAAGTCACAAATGAGCGGCCGTGTTTTAATTGGGAAAGTGTCTCCGCTTCAGTCGAGGGCACGACGGACTTTACGTTTGACTCCTCAGAGGTACCTCCGTTTGTCGACATCGTTAAACTAGAGTTTTCTGTCTTTATTTAGACTCTTAAGCATTTAATCTGCCCATTTGTTGCTTGTAAAACTTCCAGAATGTGATAACTTAGTGATGTTTTTAACTTCATGTCTTAAATTTCACTTTTATTTAAACTGGGACATTGAAAGCCTGCTGAATACAAACTGAAACTTTTTTTTTTCCACTGCTGTCTTTTCTAAAATGTGAACATGGTTTTCCAGCAATGCCTTTGGAGACATTGGGGAAGAATGCAGAGCTGCCCTCTGTCTGTTATCTTAAATAATGAAGTTTAGCTTCATTATTCAGCTGCAAAAGCCTAATTGTCTTTATCTCATAAGAACAAATGCGTTGTCTTAATGTGTATTTAATTTGACTTTGAAATAAAAATAGCACAGTTAGTACAAGAACATGAAAACTTAGTGATTTGTATATGTGATAAGTTTGTTTTGACTATGATTGATCTGTTTCTCTGCTTCCACACTTTTGGTCTGGCAGTAAAAAGTGTGTGTGTTCAGTAACTTCAAAGTCTACAAGAAATGTGGGAAAGCCAACACCTAGCCCCTCAGACATCGTCTCCAACCTAAGTACAGGCGCACAAATCAGAAAGACATTGGAGGCATGCCATAAATAATAATAATAAAAAAAGTTAATTGCCACCCTTCGTTGATGTACTACTTGCTCTCTCTGGATTCTACCTCTGAGAGCAGACAGGCTTGTAATATCAGCAGCCCACAAACCTTCCCGACTCTTAAGCTGCCATGGCTGTGGGGATTATTCATGTCTCCTCTGACAGAGAAGGTGTTGTCTGAGAACGCCACAAACATCTGCACTCGGTAAATATTGCAGTCGCATGGTGTTTGAAAACTTGTGAACAGATTATCAAGTTGACAGTTTGTTGTTGAAGCCTGTTTTTGCATCTGTGCAAAGTTTACGAACGCTCAAAATCAACCGGTGTTACAAAGAAGTCATTTACTGCCTTGCAACTTGAACTACCACTCAGTTGGAGCCGTGCGATTATGCTCCGTTCAGAGCGTGCAGAGGCCATTTTTGTCTTTTCCTGTGCTCTTCCATGTTCCATGCCTTTACTAATTGCAGGCTTCAGAGCCACAACGAGGATGTTCAGCTCAGTGGGGAAAACCAAAGAAAGGGAAAAGAACTGATTCAACTCGAGCAGTGAGTCAGCTCTAAAGGTTTATATTAATTTACCTTTTTTCCACGGAGCTGTATTTTCACGTGCCAACGCAAACGTAATAACACCTGTGGTTGCCCCGTGGTAATGATGGAGAGCTAATCATACAAAATCTGAGCTGGACATCCTCTCAGCTCTTGAAATTTAGCATTTTAAAATCCAACAAGACATTATTGCTCATTTAAAGCACATGTTTGTACTTCTATTATAAAAGATGAAGTATTTTTTTCTTCTTTAATGTTTTAGCTGAGTTTCTATATGTGACATTTAGTCTAAAATTAGTGAACATTTGGGGTCTGAGGGTTTCTGATTGTCCTCATCTTACTTTTAAATACATAACAGAAGACAATGCATTTCCTAGATGTCATAGTTTTTGTTTAAGATAATTAAGCAGCACATTTTGGCAAGTTTCCCTTGAGACTAGAGTTTAGGATCAGGGTGGGTTGTTCTTTGTTAAAACCTTTCCCGGCTGTCATTGTGATTTATTAAGACGTGTATTTTCATATAGTAAAATTAGCTTTCCAAATTGTCCATAATGTTATGACTGCTGGAAGGGAGTTTCCCACAAAAGTTATGGTTGTTCGCTAAGTGACATTTCCTTTTTGGAACGTTTGTAAATGAATTGGTTTACGTGGTGAAAACGTTCCAAGCAGGCATTAACTTTATGAAAAAGTGAAGAAAGATTACAATGAGCCAAAATGTTGAAAATCCTGGATTTGTCATTTTATGTAAATCACATCGTCTTTTGCTATCGAGAATGTCTGGTCTTATTACGTTCCAAGAAAAACATCAAAGGTTTACAAAACATGAAGTGAGGAAAAAAAACTGGAACCGTTCCTGAGGATTTGACCGTTCTGCAGCTCTCTGCTCTGAAGTATTAGCTGTTTCAAAGCAGCTGCTGCCAAATTTGAATTAGCTGCTGGTTTGACTCCAGGAACCGTCTAAACCCGTACATATGGAGATTACCGCTGTCACTTTTTGCCTTTTCCCCACATTTAATACACAGACTTGTGCATGTTTTTGCGGTATACGACACCAGAGTGGATTGGTAATGAAATGTGTTTAACAAAGTGAGCATGTTTTGTTGTTTCAGCTGGGATGAGAGCAGCTCCATCAGCAGTGGGCTGAGCGATGGTGACGGCTCAGAGAATCTCAGCTCAGAGGAGTTTAATGCCAGCTCCTCTCTTAACTCTCTCCCGAGCACACCTTTGGGATCAAGACGGAGCTCTTCTGTCATGGTGAGCTGAAACACCTAAACAATCGAATGGTCTCAACTGTAGCTTGTTTATGTGTATTTTTTGTACAATTTAGCAACTTCTGATTATTCCACTGCAGATTTTTATTTTCACTCAAAGACATTCTGTTTTCACTGGACGTGAGCTTTTTCTGCAAATAGTGAAACTGTAGGTGTAGAGTTTGTTAGTTGATTGTGCCTTAAGGCTTACTGTATTTTCCGCCGTATACGTCGCTCCACCCTATAAGTCGTATCAGTCCAACTATGTCTAATAAAGTGGAAAAAGCCATAAATGCATCGCTTTGCCGTATACGTCGCATCTATTATGCGTCACTGCTGATGTGTTGCGTTTGGTATGTTGGTCACCGCTGACAACCCGGGAACGTAGGCCGGTGTTGTGCCAAAAATCGATTGGCTGCCAAATGGCGGCCGTGGGAGTGTGCACAGGAGGACGTTAACAAGAATTTAACAAGACTAACACTTAAAAACAATTATTTGTTTGCTCTAAATTATAGTAAAGGTGTGTCTCAGTTTAACTTTTGCTTAATAAATGCACTTTGACGGTCAAATCAGCTGCATTGCAAAAGCCGATCCGCGGATGAGGAAACGTGCAGAGGGACGAGTTACTGCGCATTTCTGTGAAATTTAACAAGATAAGCATCTAAAAACAATTATTTGTTTGCTCGACTTTATAGTAAAGGTGTGTCTCATTTGAACTTTTACTTAATAAAAGGACTTTAACGGTCAAATAAGCTGCATTTCGCCGGGGCGGCACAGCGAAATCAAGCTGATTTGACGGTTGCTCCAGGCAAGCTGGATGACGGTGGCAGGCTATGGCCAGCCGATTGTGCCATTAATAGCCACTTTTACCTATTACATGATGCAATGACATGCCTTACTACTTGACTGCTATCTAAAAGCTGAAAATGGTAGTGTTCAACATTTTCAGTTAGAATGAATGAAAACGGTCATATCTCAGCCAAAAATTGGTTTATAAATATGATTAAAAATCCCTAAATATGTTGCTTCAGCGTAAAAGTCGCAGGGCATGCACATTATGCAAAAAACCCATGACTTATAGGGCGAAAAATACGGTAGTTGGAGACGTATAGAATATATAATATTGTGTGTCTTATTAAATGTTTACATGGAAATTACAGCTCAAGTTTTCTTTGGAAACATTTACATGTAAAACTAGTGAAAAAAAGGTATTTTATCAAGTTATTAGGAGTGATTTGTGTAATTCAGTTATTTTTATAAGGTATGTATGTCTAAAAACTTACTTTTCCCCCATAGATGTTTAAATTGGATTAAATGTCTTTATTGTTTTCACTTTGTATAAATTAGTAATTTTACCTGTACTAGTAGATGAACCCTGTTACCTTTTTTAATTACCAAAATACTCTCTTGGACGAAATGACCATAAGTGCTAAACAATGAGCCATCTGTCGCTCTATATCACTTAGATATGTGCCAAGAAACAGCATGCCTAATTTTGTCTTTAGTGCCACCTCCACATGCGCTGCATGGTATCTGTTAATGTGTAACTGTCAGGGTTTCTCCACCACACTTGTATATTTCACATTATAATCTCTCCATCCTTCCTGTTGGAATGCAGCTCAGATGAAACAAAAATCATGGAGAGCAGCCGGTTCCAGAGATAACAAAGACTGCTGACGCTTACCCACTCTGTGGCGGTCTCTCTTCTTTTCTCTGCAGCTCCGCACAGACGCAGAGAAGCGCTCCCTGGTGGAAAGTGGCCTTTCTTGGTACAGCGAAGACGGCAAAGTCAGCCACAAGCTCAGCAGCTGCAGCTATGACTCAGGAAGTCTCAAGACAGAAGCTCCAAGCAAGTGGAGAAAAAAGCCTCCGAGCCTCAGTGAAGAGTTTGGGATGAGAGCGGAAATAAAGAAGCCTCAGAGTTTGGGTCAACCAGGTAGTTTCAAGAAGGCCAGAAATCCTCCAGTCGGCGTTACCTCCCCCATCACCCATACCTCACAAAGTATGCTCAAAGTTGCAGGTGAGGCTTGATGAAAACTATTTGTTCTTATTGTAGTGAGTCACGTGGGTACGTGTCACTAGTTGTAGTATGACAAATATATGAGATATATGCATACAATATTCACGAGTTCCTCATCTTTCTGACTGTGTAAGTCGTGCATTGAATTTTAACAAAAATGTAACGAGAGACGTTATTTACCTTTGACCCATCAAAATGAATGGAGTCATTTATTTTCAGAATCAAAGTTTAACATCAAACATTTACATTAATTGGGCAAAATATGAAAATAATAACAGACAGTTTCACAGAAAATGAGCATCGATCACGCGGCGGTGAACGAGGACTTTGCTTCAGATATTTCTAAAATATCTGTACTGGTTTTGTGAGAGAGAGAAGAGTTTAAGATGAAATGGAGATTATCTTACAGAGAACTATGTGAGAGAATTAATATCTGTTGACCAGAACGTGCACGCTTCATCAGATCTCAGCTCGCCTCCGGTACACTTTAGTCGAAGAAGAGACCGTTACCTGGTGATGATAGATCAGCTCGATAGAGAATCCTCCAGACCTTTCAGCGTCTCCGTTGAGAGCTGCTGAAATCCTTAGATAGTCGTGCGTGGGTTGTTCAAACAGAAGTTATAATTCCAAACGTCTCTGACTCTCCTGAATTCTCGAATTCTCTTCCATTCACTTCACCATTCTCCATGAATTCCCCATGAATTCTAACAAATTCTCCTCAGAACTCCTTGAGAACTCCTTGAGAACTCTTCACCATTCCAACTCTCTCACAGAACCGAGAAGTTCTCACATTTTAAATGAGTTTACTTCCGGGTTTACTTTAGAGCTTTCTGATTCGTGGATGGACCAGAAAGAGGTGTGGTTTTTGACGTAAGGTATTATCAAAAGTCGAGGTCAGGGAATGAATTTGTTTTCAACATACAGAAAAGATTATTGCAGAATACCAGACTTTTTGGAGCCTCACTCTGTTGTATCTTTCCAAATAGTAAAACATGACATCCCTTTTTCAGTAAACATTTAGTTGACCGAAGCTTCAACTTTCACATACTTACGACTTGGCTCATTTCAGACAGAAAATCAAGAAATGCATATTAACCTGATTTCTCCTTTGAATGATGAATAAAATCATTACTTACTGTTTATGTAAAATAAAAATGAGTAGTTCTTTTCAACCTGTAAGCATTGAGTGAAACTAACACAATTTGATTATCAAACATTTGTAAGACAGTAATGATTATAAAGAATTGTCTTTTCTGCTTGATTAATTCAAGAAAGAAAGTCATCAGATGGCTCAGACTTATTCAGATCAATGAAAATAACAGTCTCTGTCCATCTGGTAGATTTGAGGTCATCAGGGTCAGATAAGGGTCAGACCAGGTTCACTACATTATCTAAAGTATATTTTGATAGTTTTATTTTAAACTGCTTATAATCTAAAGCTATAGGCTCTTTAACTTTTACTTAAACTTAAAATAAATTATTATGCATCTGAAACATTCAGTACAGTTTTCTTCTTGACAATTAGACAATCATTGTTGACATTACTAAACTCAAGGTTTGGTTGTGATTTTTTTAAAGAGCTGTTGGGTTTTAGCATCATCATATCATGGAGAAAAAAAATACAGAAAACCATTCTGTTTTCTGTGTTTGCTTAAGTTGTTCAAGATGTTTTCTTTAGCAACAGGGAATTATAAAATGGTAACATGCAGATTGTGGGAGGACAATGCATTGTGAAATGTGTTGCCAGTGAACCCCACAGACAGCTGGCACATTGACATGTTTGTTATACACTGCAGAAGGCTTAAAATTATTTGTTTGCAATTTTTTTTTTCTTTTTGTCTGTCTGTTTTTCTGTAGCTCCAAAAATTGAGAAGCCCCTGGACAAATCCAAAATCTCTGTGAAGTCTGCGGGTCTACAGCGGAGTCGCTCTGATGCTGGCAGGGATTATCACGGAGAGCATCGCAAACCCCCATCAGGTTTGGTCAAACCATCCGCAGGAAGCACCTTTGGATACAAGAAACCTCCAACAGTCACCGGTACCGCAACGGTTCTGACAGCAGGGGGCGTCACCATCTCCAGTGGCTCTGCTACTCTGGGGAAAGTCCCCAAGTCGTCTGGCATCCCTGTGAAGCCCCTGGGGGGAGGAACCGCTTTGGGTAGAAAGAACAGTTTTGATGCCAGCAGTGAGCAGGGTTTCTTGGGGCCAAACGCCCGGAACAGCATTCAGTATCGCAGCCTGCCTCGACCAGCCAAGTCAAGCACGCTCAGTGTCATCGGCCGCCCAGCAGCTCGACCCATCAGCAGCACCATTGACTCAAGTCTGTTGAGTTTGAAGCCTGTACCTCTGGTTTCCACAGGGCCCAGGATTAAAGAGCCTAGTAGCTGCAGCAGTAAAATGACCAATAGAACCATTACAGGGCCGGTGAACCAGACAGACAGAGAGAAAGAGAAGGAGAGAGCCAAGGCCAAGGCTGTAGGTGCTGACGTGGACTGTGCCGCTCTAAAAAGAGAGAACAGTCAGCCTGAGTCCACAGCAGAACCTGCTATGAAACTGTACGGTCTGAGACGGACCAGCAGCAGCAAATACCCTGAACTGTCCTCTCCCACAACACCAAGGTCTCTGCTCTCCTAAATTACAAAATAAAACTTTTAAGATTTTATATTAAAGACTTTTATACTAAACTATTTTTCATACCACAGAATGTTAAATCAGTTGTAAGTGCGGCATCTACACTTTTGGAAAGTTAATGGTTATTTTCAGAAACTGTACAAATTACTCATTGTAAATAAGTTGGATATTTCCTTTTTTTTTTGTTGTTGAGATCTTGTGTTTTCTGCTTGATTTCCAGGATGCTCAACACTAAATCTCTTGGTCGTCCACCCAGCTTGGCTCACCTGGACAAGGTCAATTCTAACAGTCTTGACTCCTGTGTGACCATCCAAGATCTTCCACCAAAAGTACCCCCATATTCTAAGCTTCAGGACTTGGCTGGTTCCCACACAGGAACCCGCCTCACCCCAAGCCCAGCACCTGTCCTCCACATCGATTCTCCCAGTTACACCAGTGAAAGCCTGAGCTTGAGCGGATCCCCCATGCTCTACCCTAAACTGTCTGGCATGCATCGCAGCATGGAGTCCCTGCCGCTCCAAATGAGTGTCCCCTCGAGTGCAAGGTTTGCTGCTACAGACCCATGCGACAAGGAAGAGCGGGGTACCGGAACCTGGGGCGGTGGGACTAGAACGCCCCTCAACATTTCAGATGGGCAAGTATTATAGTATGTCCTTCACAGAACAGGTCAAGTATTTAGGCAAAACTTTAAATGTTAGTTTTTTTCTTCAGTACAGTTTGTCAGATAATTTTTATAGAGGAAAAACATATATGAAGCCATTTGTTGGTGCAGTTTCAAGTAATTTACAAACAGCTGATAACATGATTTCAAAAGGTAAATCCTTAATTTATTTTCTTATAAAAAGTGCCACAGAAAAATACAACTAACTCAAATACTGTTGTGCAAGAAAGACTAAAGAGAAAACTAAAGAAATAAGAACAATTTACTAATTTAAGAAAATCTGTTTTGTTTTGGGAACCAGTAATGGTTTAAAAAAACTGCTTGTCTAAGCAGCAGATAGTTTGTAAGACACAGTTTAGTTTAGTTAAGTCAGCATGAATACTGGATCTCTTGGCAGCCGACATACCATCCACTCATACTTTATGTGGCTTTTCTGGGAACGAGAAGTGTGAGCTGTCGTTTTCCAACCAAAGAACCGCATGCTTCAGAAATCCCATGCTTTGTTTTCCAAAGTGTTTGTGTAGCAAAATATAGAAAAAGGTTGAAATACATATGAAATGTGCAAATTAAATATAAATGACAAAACCCTAAAACTTGATGTAATGATGGCAAAACTGCCACCAACACGCTGTATTTTAAATAAATTCATTGAAAAGCAGTAATATTTTTCCCCTCTTTTTTTACAGCTTGCAAACAGATCGGAACACTTTACCGAAGAAAGGCTTGGAGTGAGTCTGAGCATCCATTTTTGATGGTATCATTTATTACCTTCACTGCTATCAGTTGAATGAATATGTCATTTTCAGATGCTATGGCTCAAGCCTCTCAGAGAGTGATGGAAGCAAACCAGGAAGGCGCCACTCCCACACTGTAGTGAACATGACAGAGAGCGATAGCCCCCCTCAGCTGCCTTCGCCCACCCGCACTCTTCATCCTTCTTCCACCAAAACTCCTCTCACTAACGTGGGTGAGTGTAATCATTCCACGTGGCTGCCAGGTTCTAAAACTTCTCACTGTCTGAACCTCAAAACTAATGAGGATTTGTGATCAGTCTCTATTACTGTTGTATTTCTTTGGGAATGGGGATACTGGGAGGAAAATTCATCTGTTTACCTTCAGAGAATCAAACGTAAGTTGTTAATAATAGAATCTACTGAGTGAGAAAAGTATGACTGTCATGCTTTTCCATGTGAATATTTGTTAATCTTCTTACTACAGTAAATTAGATTTGTAGAAAATGGAAGCAATGAAAAACAAATCAGGTTATATTTGTCACTGTGTGAGACTGCAGTGCTACTTTTCATCTGTTCTACTGTTTTATCTATGTTTTTTTGTGTTATAGTTGCCCCAATTTCTTGTGTCACCCCGAGGATATCGCGCTCCAACAGCACAGGCCCCTCCAGTGACACAGCTTGCGATCTGTATGGATCCTCCCCCCTGGGCAGCAGTATGTCCCTGGCTGACCGGCCAAAAAGCATGATGCGGTCAGGGTCTTTCCGTGAACCAGGGGATGATGGTAAGCAGTCGCTCCTCTAAGTTGGACAAGTCTTCCAACAAAACTTCAAATGAAACAAAGCTGTGTGCTTGTTCAGTATCCAGTCCTTTCAGTGAAATGTTACAGACACTGGTTTCGTGCTCAAGCGAAGTGGAGAGGACTCTGCATCTTCTATTTTAGGCTGAGGGTGGGCTAGATAAGAATTCAAACTTAAGAAACTTGCAGGTAAATTAAACTTGTTGTCCTCCAAACAAGTTTCCATACATACATACACAAAGAATAACTTTAACGTTCTAATGTACAGGGTTATTCTGTTACAATGGGTTCTTGTGAGAGGTTTGAGCAAAAATAGATTATTGATTACCATTAAATCATCGATACAAATATGTAAATTATATTATTAACAGTTTTAAAGTATCTAAATCGACACACAGACTGGTTCTTAATCAGTTACCCCTTCACTGTTTTTTTCAGTGCATGGCTCTGTTCTCTCTTTGGCCTCCAATGCTTCATCCAACTATTCAGGGGTGAGTTTAAACAGCTTTTTTGTGCAAAGTAATACTGTTTTAGTATAAATGTCTTCTGAAGATTAGTATTTTAAATTTAAAGTTTAAAGACACTTTGTTTTTTGTGCAAACAATAAGGGTCCACTTTGCAAAATTAATAAAGTTCCGTAATTCTAATCACAGATAGAGCTTTGTCCATTTTATTGCAATACGTCCACACTGTTTTGTTTTCTTGGCTAAGAGTAAAAAGTAGCCATTCTACAATGGAATTTCATCACCTGATTTATCACAAACAGTATGTGATCATTGATCTAAAATAATTATTAATGATGGTGGAGAAATAAATTTGTTTAACTGCCATTAGAGTTGATCTTGTATCCTATCCCTCTTACTCTCCCCATGCTTCATAAGAATGAGGAGAGGATACAAGGAGAGGTAAGGTCAGAGTGTCCTAAATCTTAAACTGACATTTCTTTCTGTGTTTTGTCGAACTTGTTCAAATGTGTCCAGCCATCAGCTGAAGTTTCCAGTACTCCAGGAAGACCAATGATCTTTATCGCAGGGGCTCATAACCCATCTCATTTTGTTTTTATCTCTAACATTGTGTGTTTTTCAGCACCCCTGTCCAACATTTAATAAAGAGAGTCAGACCTCATAACATTCTCAGTGCATGAGAATCGTGGCCAAAATCAAAACGCCTCCAATCTTGTCTTGTGGCTTGGAATGCATTTTCTGTGATTGTTGTTGATGTTGTTGGACAGAAACCTTCAGGTTTTGTTGCGTGTATATTCTGGGTGTAAATTATCCAAAGCAATGAATTTAACACAGTCCATCATTGCATTATCATCGTCAGAATCCGATTTGTCTCAGGAGCAGCAGTGTGTCAAAACCTCTCAAACCTGATTTACATTTTGTCTGCAGCAAATCCGCAAGCTGAGGAGAGAGCTGGAATCCTCTCAGGAAAAAGTCGCCAACCTGACCATGCAGCTTTCTGCAAACGTTTGTATTTTTTTCTTGTTGTTCACTTCTCTTTGCTAACGTGTTAGTCACTTGAACACATTGTAAGCACTTGATCTTGATGCTGACTACAATTTGTAAATTGAAATTACTTCAATTCATGAACATTTGCCACAAAACATTACTGAGTGCAAAACATGTATGTCTTATATCTTTAATGGGTGTTTGAGACTGTGATACAAGATGGGGGAATAATAAACATTCATCTGGCATACAACATAAAAAGCACACTAAATAATGTAGTTACTGATAAATAATATACATTAGGTAAAAATATCTAACCCCAACTAGAATTAGACAATAATACCATAGTTCTACATTCACTCTGTAACTCATATATCTCCTTATAACTTTAAAGCTGCTTTCAAACTGAAATCTATTTATGCACCCTTTGCTTTTACTGTCTGTAGCTGACAATTTTTATTTTTTTTTTATCCCTGCTTCTTCCAGCCTATTTAGTTTTATAGCTTGTGATGCATGAATCTCACATCTAGTCACAAACTCAAAACTTTTACCCTCTCACCATGTACTGATTTAATAGAAAAACATGTTTTTTTTTACTTATTTACTCACTTGTTTTGCTGTTGGTATTATTTTAAGTAATATATTTAAATCCATGTATGAAATCAGTTTGCTTGATTCTAATTGTGCGGTTTTTATCCATTTATTTTTCTTTAAATGATTACAAAGGTATTTTTCCCCCAAGCTTAACACCACTGTCCCTCTCTTTGCACTCTTGGCTGGACTCCCTGCTGCTCCCTGCCTGCCTCCCTCTGTCTTCCACCTCTGGATGCTGGTTGTAGCAGCTAGGCCAGGTTTGTTAAGCCGCTTTAAAATTGATGTGTGACTCCACTCAGCTCTCATCATTTTGGTTCTTCTCAGGTGTAGGTGATTTCACCTCAGAAATCTGAGAACAGCCGTCACGATTAAAGAGCCACTGTGACTTGTTTCCCCACTCTGTGGACTGGATCATCAATGCAAAGTATTGTAACTGGTCATTGTGTTCCGACCACTCCGCCCGTTGTGGTCATTAATCGCCCTATAATCGGGCTTCAATTTCTTTAGCTTTTCTCAGCACTGTTTATAAGTACAGATGTAGCCATGCTGTGCCATCATCTCTGATATCTCTCTGTAATCGTGCTAATTTCTTGTGGCACCATCTGATAAGACGATCAGAGAGAAAGGTGAGGTTCAGATGTAGTTTGCAGTTTTGCTGGGCGGGTCATCCAGTGACTTAGCTCCACTGGCCAATCAACAGCTGCTGTCTGTTTACATCAAAATCAACCCCTCGGAGCAGTCTGCTTGGAACCACGAACAAGATGGTCCCATAAACTGGGCTAGCTGGTGTGGTGTGATGTGGAACTGGTTAGAGTTGAGACCGTGCCAAAGAGCCATTAGTGTGACTTCAGGGTCTTTTGTGATATACAGTACTTGTGGTGGGGCTATAGAATAGAAACTGCCTTTATTGTCCCACAGAGGGAAAGTTCAAGTATAACAGCAGCAACAGATATAAAGGTCCACACAAAAAGTTCTTAAAATGTTAAATAATGGTATATAAATTCATTCAACCTTTATTTAAATAGGTTAGTCCCATTGAGCCATGAGAAAATAAGATGAATAATAATAATATACTATATAAGGCTATAATAGAAAATACTGTGCAGTTTTTAAAATAGGCATGTCGAACTTGCAATCCAAGTGATGTGCAACTGATTCGAATCACGTTTCCAAGATGTACGTAATGTGTACACACTTATCAATGCATGGAAGTGTCCTGATGGGCACATTGTTGTCCACACAGAAACTGATGCAGTCCATGATGCTGTCATTGTCCCCCCCCCCCCCCCCCCCCCTGAATAGTACAGAGCTCTTCCCACACAGTGGAGCTGAAACAGTCCGTCAGAGATTCTTCAGTTTCCTCGGTCCATTTCTCCACTGTGCTCATCACAGCTGGTTCTCAGCACACCAGGAGTTTATACACAGGCTGGAGATGAACCAAATCGTGATCTGAGCCCCCCAGGGGGAGGCAGAGGTGGTGAGCTGTATGTCTCCTTGGTTTAGGTGAAAAGTAGATCCAGTGTGTTGGTATTTCTGGTGTGGCAGGTGACATACTGGGTGAAGGTAGGGTGAGTGGAGGACAGAGAAACATGATTAAAATCCTTGGAGACCAGAAAGAGGGCCTGTGGGTGCTGTGTTTGGAGTCTGCTGGGGGTGGTGTGAAGGACATCGCAGGCTGCAGCAGCATTAGCAGAGGGCGGGATGTACACAGTTATCACGATAAATGTGTGAAAACTCTTGAAGAAGATAGTGTGGCCTCATACTAACAGCTAGAAGTTCAATGTCCTTACTCAGAGCATCTCTTTGATGGTTAGATGTCCAGTGTTACACCATCTATTTATGATGTGGTACAGCTCAGTTTAGACTCATGTTGTCTAATGTACCTTCTGATTTAATGTGAATTAACATATTAAAAAACAGTACACGACACACAGCAAATGTTTTGCTAAATGAATTTCTAAGTCTTGTAAAAACTCAACAAAACCTCATACTTGAGTGGTTAAAGATGGAGTGTATACCACATGGGCACACATGCCCTGAGGACTTGCTCCTCGTCACAGTTTCCAGCTGGTCTGAATCTTGTTTCACTTCTTTCCATGATTCTGTTTCCGCGTTGCCTGTCATGTTTCCATTGTTATTGCCAACGTGTTATGATTAATCTACAGAGGAATCTTAAAGTACCCCCCCCCCCCCCCCCAAAAAAAAAAGGGATGAAAGCTGTCAAATTGAATTGTCAGACTGGAATTATCTCATGAAGAGCCCCTCCATTAAACAAATTATTATTTATATGTTAATTCACATGTTGTTGTCAGCAATAAAATCTAAAGGATTCTCTGTTTTTTAAATGTTCTTTGCACTTCAGAAACCATTAGAAATACTCTCACCTAAATGTTGAAACGTGCTACATGAGGTTGATAACGGCTCCACTCGGCTGCTCTGTCTCATCATTTTCATTTTCAACTCTGACATCATCTACAGCTGTTAGTGACTCCATCCTTTAGTTTCTCTCACAGCTGAACTTCTGTTTTATTTCTTGTGACTAAGACCCCAGGACAGTTTAATGACTGTGACTCAAAGCTGTCTGCTGTTCTCCACCAAACTCTGTCACTTTTTTGCAGATTACCTCTGTTTTCTCTCTCTCTTTCTTTATAGGCTAATCTGGTAGCCGCGTTTGAACAGAGTCTGGCTCTGATGACTGCACGTCTGCAGACACTGTCCGTTTCCTCAGAGCAAAAGGTATCTTGATGATGTGATGATGCTAATTGCTTACACTCTGTTGGTATTTTGGACTAGAATAAGAAAATGCAAAAATAAATGGCTATGAGAAACAAAATTCTAAATAAATCAGTGCTGCTGCATATTTTACAATATTGACAGTGATCCTGATTTGTTATTTTGACTGCACTTAATGGTTTTTTAAGCAAAAGAGAAGCTTTCATGTGACATATTGTTTTTATTTACATATGCTGTCATCAGGACCTTAATGCAATCTAACATCCTTAGTGAAAGCTTTTAGATGCTGTACATTCCACAGAAATAAATTAAAAACTAGTTCAGCATGTCAGCCACTATAAACACATTGTTTTATTTCTGCAGGATTCTGAGCTCACCGAACTGAAGGACACTATTGAGATTTTGAAAACCAAAAATACAGAAGCCCAGGAAATCATTCAGGGTGCTCTGAGTAATCCAGACATCACACCTAAAGGTAGAAAGAGCGACATGAATGTGTACTATAATTGTCTGATTGTGTACTATGACTTTTGATATTTTAGCTGTTCGTTTTGCTTTTATTATTCAGAGCTGCTGATCAATCGCCAGAACTCCTCAGAGAGCATCTCCAGTCTCACCAGCACTACAAGCCAGTCGAGTATGGGAAGTCTCAAGGAGCAGGAGGCCAAGAAGAAGAAAAAGAAGAGCTGGGTAAGACAAATATATGCACAGATGTTATTGATCACCTTGATTTCTTAAGAAATGTGAATAAGTTCACAAAAAGTGTAAAGATTACACCATCAAGAATCTTGTTGAGATTTGTAGCAAGTAAAACAAGCAAATTCAGAAAAGTATTTTCATGCTAAATAGATTTATTCTTCAATAATTATTTGTCAAGTATGACAAAGTTTACTTTACAGATTGAGTGATAAGAGAGAAAAAAAGAAACAACTGCAATAGAAACCCCATGGAAACCCGAACTTACAAAACAACAAAACAAAACCAGTCGCTCATTTTACTGAATCCTCCTGCATGTTTGTGATTCTCCATGTATGTTGTTCCTCATAGGTTATTAAGTATGACTCTACTTTTTCCTTTATGCTCTCGTCCTTTAAATTTAGGTGTGTGAGGTGAGTGTTGTTATTCTCGTAAACAGAACCTGAGTTCTTCCCGAGTCTCCATCCTGCATGAGTTTAACGAGTCATACTGGTGATTGTTTGGTCATACATGTGTTTGTAAACATCTAAAAACTCGATCATGTTCTGATCTTGTGGTTATATTAATCAAAATCGCGTATTCTTTTTTTCATTCAACCTTTATTTATACAGGTCAGTCTGAGAATATTAAAATCTAAATATCTAAATTGCTTAACACAATTTCTACATTATATCACGGCAACTCATTATTTACTCATAATTTACATTCTTATATGTGAAAGAGTTTTAACAATACATTTCTTGCATAAATTCACTATGAAACATGCATGGCAGTTTAACACACTTTTCGGGGGACTTTGTTTCCTTATTTTTTATATCTTGTCATGTTCACTCCTGACCTGGGTTGTGTATCCTCTGAACAGCTGCGCAGCTCCTTCAACAAAGCTTTCAGTAAGAAGGGCTCCAAGTCCGGGCCATATGCCGACATCGAAGAGATTGCCACTCCTGAGTCTTCAGCACCTTCTTCCCCAAAGGTCAACAATGTTGGAGATAACCCTCAACAGGCAATGAAATCCTCAACCTCTGCATCATCCTCAGGGTAAACCTCCCAAACACTGAGCTTTTACTGAACTGTCTGATCACAGCTTAGATTTTATGATAACATAAATTAATCTTGTTTTATTTTTCAATTGTCTCATTTGAATTGCTGCTTTCCAGACTTTGTGAAGAGGATGATGACGGAGACGATAAGGTTGTAACAGAGCTGCGTACAGAGCTGTGGGAGAAGGAGCGTAAACTGACAGACATTCGTCTGGAAGCTCTGAACTCTGCACATCATCTGGAGCAGCTGCAGGAGGCCATGATCAATATGCAGGTATAGTGGTTATTTTATATTTATGACAAGACGCCAATTTTTATTTATTGTATGGAAATGTTTAGGGATAAGTTTGTAATATGCTGGTGAAGATTCTCAGTCGTCATCATTAAAAAAAAAAAAGTTTTAAAAACAACAACATAACCGGTGAATCATTTGTTAGTTTACCAAAAGTCCATGCTCAATAATCCAGATATAAAATCTAATAATTTTCAGGCAGGTCATCTGAACGTCTCAGCACAAATAAAGAAAATGTCCAGATGACCTGATTGAAAATCGTTGGATTTTATACCTGGATTATTGAGCATGGACTTTTGGTGTTTTGAACCAGTTTGACATGACTGTCGACGAGGGAGAGGGTGTGCCCCAGAGACTATCTTAGCACCAACATAACTGTTTTTTTTCCTCTTTGGAGTAAGCTGTTTTGTGTGGTGTTTCTTCAGACTGATGAAGCCGTCTGGATGGAAGGCGAAACGTCTCAGCACAAAAATATATATATATATACTGTCCAGATGACCTGACTGAACATTGTTGGATTTGTCAGTTTAACTTTCTAACTGGGCCTTTGTCAAATCAGCAAACAAGTCCAAAAATCACGCTGCAGAACAGAAGAGAGAGAAGAGCAAACACATTGTCATCCCATGTGTTGCTGGAGTATCTGAAAACTCAGAAGGATTGTGTCCAAACACAACATCCCGGTACATTTTAAACCCAACAGGAGCCTCAGACAGATGCTGGTCCATCCCAAGGACAGAACCCCCAAACCCAAACTGAGCGGTGTGGTATCTGCAGTTTAGTGCACTGAGGAACGTTCAGACCTCTATATACAGGTCTCTCTTGTAAATGAGTCCTCGTGGCTCAATGAGACTAACCTGTGTAAATAAAGGTTGAATGAATTGTAGAAATTGAACGTCTTCACAGACGCATAGCTCAACACCGGAGAGCAGCTCTTCAGGACCAGACTCAGTGGTCCACCTACACCTCAAGAATAAGGGACTCTCTGCTGAGGACCAAAATGTTCATATTTTACACAGAGCAGACAAATGCTTTTTTTTTTTTTTTTTGGGGGGGGGGGGGGGGTTTTTGTCAAAGGAAAAAAAAAAAAAAAAATTTAAACAAAGGAGGATGTCTCAGATTTCAACTTCAAAAGTTAACAACGCAGCTTTAGGCCTGATTCCAGGTCAGCTTCTCTAATTCACACCTTCATGCAGGTGACCCAAACATCTCTCTCGTGAGCTGCAGGCTAACAAAGAACCAAACGAGCCTCCACTGTGCAGGCGAGTAGATCCAGTCTAATCTGCAGGTGAATCAAAGAACACAACCTGGCCTCTCATGCGCTTCTCTAAAGCTGTGAGCTCCACACACTCCAGACATGTTAGAACTGATTAAAACTCCTGGATGGGAAGCAAAACATCTTCAGTTTCAGAATAAAGTCCGGTTGTTTTTGATTTTTAACCTATTTTTGGATAAGTTTGTGGAGCTATTTATTCTCCAATTTGATCTCACCGGTTGTTTTTGAAACCTTGTGTATTTCTTTTTGTAATTTAAAATAAGCTTCAACGTATTTTACCTTCAGTACTACAAATAACTTTTATGATTTTGTTAATAGAGGACAGTGGAGAATCTGAAGACTGAGAATGATCATCTGAAGACAGGCAGTCTGTCTCCCTGCCCGTCCCCTGGACCTTCCAGCTCTGCCTCCCAGTCTTCAGGTCTCGCAGCTCTGGGAAGCTCATCACCTCGACAGTCTGTCGCCGTGCACATGCCCAAAAGCTACAGCAGAGGGCTGAGCGAGGGGAGCAGCTCAGGTACAGTCCAACCTCTGACACTGAAAATCAAGAGTAAAAATAGAAGTGTGGAGCACAGCTAGTACGCATATACAGAGAATTAAAAAAAAACTACACAACTGTTAAAAACTGCATCTGCTTTAATTTTTTTTAATTATTATTATTAGCTATTTATTATTGTTGTGGCAAGTCACATCACTTTTTATTTTGTTATGCTCTTGAAGCACAACTTTTTCTTGAAGTTTAGACTTTAATAAAATTGCAAATGAATTGAACCTCAAGACATTACACACTCTGACAGTGTGTCACTAATCTGTTTAATATCCAAACATTTTAAATAAGGTAAATATATTTTTAACAGCTTGTCACATATGTTGTATTTGTATTTGTTTTATTCTCAGCAGATGTCCACTCTGCAGACTCCCTCAGCCTTTCTTTGCAAAGAGATGATCATCGCGTTAGAGTGGTAGTTTGTGTAGTAGATTTACGAGTTTTTAAAGATGTAAGTGGTTTTTTTTTATGTATTTCAGAACTTTGCACTTTTCACATCAAACTGATAACTTCATGTTGTCTCTGCAGGAGGTTAAACAGCAGGATTTCTTTGTCGGCACTGTCAGGGTGAATGGTAGGATGGACTGGGTCATGCTGGATTCTGCTGTCAGCCAAGCTTTCAAAGTAAGACATTTTTATTTTGACGTCTTGAAGAAGACATTTCTGTTTGATTAGCATGTTAAGTGTCTCACTTTGAGCCTCTAACACGGGAATGGGAGTTATATTTTTACATGTGAACACAGCATCCTTTTTGGACATTGAGAGTCATCGGATTTTCTGTGTTTTCCAATTCAGGTCTACATAACCAAAGTGGACCCCACCTCCAGCCTTGGTCTTTCTACAGACTCAGTCTACAGCTACAGTATGGGCCACATAAAGAGGGTGCTGGGAGGAGACACTCCTGAGACGCAGCCGTCTCGCTGCATGTCTCGAGGCCCCACCAGCATCACAGTGGCTCTGAAAGGTCTGAATTGAAGTTCCAGCACATTTAAATTATACAAAAAACAGTAAATTTGTAGAAAAATAAAAGATATTGGTAGCAAGAATTTATCAAGTGTCAAACCTACGACAGAGCTAAAGGGCCACGCTAAGAAAAAAATAAAATTAAAATCCATATAATTACGAGAATAAAGTTGTTGTATTACGAGAATAAAGTCTTATGCGACTTTCTTTTTTTTTAAACTGCTGTTGTTATTTATTTATTTATTTCCACAAGTCAGATCCATAAGGTGACCTGTCGATCAATCCAGTAGGCATGTCAGCAAACGACACGCCTACTGGATTGGAAATAAATAAATAAATGAGATCTGTAAAAACAAAAAAAAATGTATCGTACGACTTTATTCTCGTAATTTTATGGCTTTTAATTAATTTATTTTTTCTTAGCATGGCTCTAAAGTTCCATCGTAACAACCACCACTACGCCGTTAGAATTTGACATTATATGTATATTTTGTGGAGTGTTTCATTTAAATCTCAAATTACTAATCCTCATTTTGTTTGTTTATCAGAGCTACATTTTGGCTTTTAGGTAGTTTCCCCGCCTCATCACCTTTGCATGCATGGGTGCAAGAAGAGATAGAAAGTAGCAGCAGCCCAGGCAGAGCTCTGAGCAACATGATCTGAGCTGTCAGGACCAGCTGGTCAACCAACCTCAGACACATGAGCCCCATAGATGTTAATGCAGACTGGACTTCTGCAGCCTGGGGGTTGGGTGTAACACCGACTTCCCACACTTGAAGCAGTTATTTTCAGAGACAAGTGCTTGAGCGTAGTGTTGCTTAAGAGGTCATAGAACTCTGTTTGCATAACATTTCTCACAGGCACGTCCTGTTTCTAACATGTTCTCTCTGCTATATATATTAATAGGAGTCTTATCAAAAACTTAATACAATCAACTTTTAAATTTATCACAGCAGTTCTTTCCTCTCAATATGTTCAGGTTTAAAGGAGAAATGTGTGGACAGCCTGGTGTTTGAAACTCTCATACCCAAACCCATGATGCAACATTACATCAGTCTCCTACTCAAACACCGACGTCTCATCCTGGCTGGTCCTAGCGGGACAGGTAAGACCTACCTTGCATCCCGCCTGGCTGAGTACCTGGTGGACCGCAGTGCCCGTGAAGTCACAGACGGCATCGTGATGACCTTCAACATGCATCGCCAGTCATGCAAGGTAACAGAAACTGATGTTTTGTTCAAACCTATGCCTCACTGAGTTTATTTGATCTGTCATAATGTCTGATTTTTTTTACCGTCTTGTGCCAACGTTTGTCTTTGCCTCTTTTCCACCAGGATCTGCAGCTTTATCTGTCGAATTTAGCCAATCAAATAGACCGGGAAACTAATGCATCAGAAATTCCACTGGTTGTTATTCTAGACGATATTCATGATCCCGTTTCCATCAGCGAACTTGTCAATGGTGCTCTTACATGCAAATACCACAAATGGTAAAAACACCCTTTATAGATTGAACCTATATTCACAGATATGTAATCTATCTAAATGATAAAAAAAATCTAAGGTATGTCATGTTGTGTCTACATTCAGTCCTTATATTATTGGAACAAGCAATCAGCCGGTGAAGATGACCGCAAACCACAGCTTGCATCTCAGCTTCAGGTTGGTGATAAGTGAACGATTCAATGTTTCAGTAAAAAATGTAAATGTTTTGTTGTTTGTTAAATATTTATGACAGAGTGCTATAGAAATATTTTTTGCATAAACAGACCTGCTTGTCTGTTTATCTTGTGATCTGACTTCATGCATCTCTTTTTTTTTTTTTTCTCAGAATGGTGACCTTCTCTAACAACGTGGAACCAGCCAATGGCTTCCTTGTACGGTATTTGCACAGGAAGCTGATGGAGTCAGAAGATGAGAGAAACTTGACCAATGAGAACCTCATCAGGGTGTTAGACTGGGTTCCAAAACTGTGGTATCATTTGCACACCTTTCTTGAGAAGCACAGTACATCGGACTTTCTTATTGGTATGAAAAACAGAGATCAGAACCTGATTGTACGGCTAAATACTATAGATTAATTGTGAATTATGTGATGTTTTTGTCCCCTCATCCTTTGCAGGCCCTTGCTTTTTTCTATCCTGTCCAGTCACAGTTGATGAGTTTCGATCTTGGTTCATTGATCTGTGGAACCACTCTATTATTCCTTATCTGCAAGAAGGCGCCAAAGATGGCATCAAGGTGAGCTCAAACATTCAGCCGGGCTTTTATTGTCAGGTATTGACATTAAAATGTAAAGCGCATTGAGAGTATTTATTTTTGTTTTGCTAAAAAAAAAAACTAAATTGAAGTGAAATAAATCCATCCATCCATTCTCTTCTACTTATCCGGGGTTGGGTCGCAGGAGTAGCAGCTTAAGTAAGGAGGCCCAGACTTCCCTTTCCCCAGCCACATGGGCCAGCTCCTCCGAGAGGAATCGCAAGGCGTTCCCAGGCCAGCTGAGAAACATAGTCCCTCCTGCATGTCCTGGGTCGTCCTCTGGGTCTCCTCCCGGTGGGACGTATCCGGAACACCTCACCAGGGAAGCGTCCAGGAGGCATCCTAACCAGATGCCCGAGCCACCTCAACTGGCTCCTCTTAACATGGAGGAGCAGCGGCGCTAGTCTGAGTCCCTCCCGGATGACCGAGCTTCTCACCCTATCTCTAAGGGAGAGCCCAGACACCCTGCGGAGAAAACTCATTTTGGCCGCTTGTATCCGAGAGCTCGTTCTTTCGGTCACAACCCAAAACTCATGACCACAGATGAGGGTAGGAACGTAGATCGACTGGTAAATAGAGAGCTTCGCCTTTTGGCTCAGCTCTCTCTTCACAATGACAGACCTGTACAGCACCCGCTTCACTGCAGATGCCACACCTATCTATCTATCAATCTCTTGCTCCATTTTTTTCCTCTTTCGTGAACAAGACCCCAAGATACTTAAACTCCTCCACTTGGGGCAGGACCTCTTCCTTGACACGGAGAGGGCACTCTACCCTTTTCCAGCTCAAGACCATGGCCTCGGATTTGGAAGAACTGATCTTCATCCCAGTTGCATCACACTCGACTGCAAACCTCTCCAGCGAAAGCTGTAGATCACGACCTGATGAAGCCAATAGGACCACATCATCTGCAAAAAGCAGAGACGTGATCCAATGCCACCAAAACGGATCCCCTCAACACTTTGGCTGCGCCTAGAAATTTTGTCCATAAAAGTTATGAACAGAATTGGTGACAAAGGGCAAGCTTGGCTGAGTCCAATTCTCACCGGGAATGAGCCCGACTTACTGCCGGCTCTGACACCAGTCATACAGGGACCTAACAGCCTGTGTCAAAGGGCCTGGTACCTCATACTCCCAGAGTACCACCCACAGGGTTCCCCGAGGGACGCGGTCGAATGCTTTCTCCAAGTCCACAAAGCACATGTAGACTGGTTGGGAAAACTCCCACGCACCCTCCAGGATCCTGCTGAGGGTGTGGAGCTGGTCCAGTGTTCCACGACCAGGACGAAAACCGCACTGCTCCTCCTGAATCCGAGGTTTGACTATCTGATGGACCCTTCTCTCCAGAACCCAGAAATGTTTAATGAAGTATTCAGATATCTAGAGTGTGATTTTTATTTTTTTTTTTGGGGGGGGGGGGGGGGGGTGATAATTCAGCAAGATCATGATAGGTCAGAGCAGCAAACAAAAATCTTGCTAGAGCATTTCTTTTTTCTCACTTTGATTTCAAAGGTTCTTTAGGTCAGTTTAATTACATTGCATTGTAGCCTACTATACAGAGCTACTGTAAAGCTGGCAAAAGAGCAATAACAATTCTATGTTTTTCTTTGTTTAAATGTCATGACTCTTCAGGTCCACGGTCAGAAGGCAGTATGGGAGGACCCAGTGGAGTGGGTGAGGGGCACTCTGCCATGGCCTTCTGCACAACAGGACCAAGCAAAGCTTTTCCATCTTCCTCCTCCGAGCATCAGCTCAAGCAGCCCGTGCCAGCCCAGTGAGGAGAAGCCTCACAAGGAAACTCCACCCAGCTCCATGGAGTCTGATCCTTTGGTAAGAAAGACATTTGTTTTATTATTTTTATTTTTCAGTAGGATTTGAATTGTCTTTCTTATCTATTTCTCTTTTTTGCAGATGGCAATGCTTCTGAAACTGCAAGAGGCTGCCAATTACATTGAATCTCCAGACAAAGAAGATTTAAGCCTGCCTAAACTTTAAAAGCAAAACTCACAATTAACACCCAGCACATCTGATTGAGCAGTCAGAAAGAAACACACCTTTATAAATGATTGTGGGGTGACTTTAATTGTCATTATCTACTGTGGGAGGTTGTGAGTAAATTCCAAATCATTGTTACACACACACAGTATTAAAGTAACACACTTCACAAGAATTAAAGCGGTATTATAATACTTTATATTTGGATCACCATATTAGCCCTTAGTACTCTTAGATTGGTGCTAACAGTTTACAATGAAATCCATTGCTTGAGGACTTTGACTTCAGGGGATTTCTGCAAAAATGTGAGCTGTCCATCTTGTTTTTTCCTCAAGTGCATCATGGGATGTTGAGTCCTTAACAAATAGCATTATTCTTGAAGGTGTGAACCTGTTTTGGAAAAGAGTATGACAGCATCATAAAAACAGCTTAAAGTTCTCAGTGTACCGATCTTTGAAGGCTAAATGTTACACATATGCAATCTTTAACTTTACAACTCAAGCAGGTAAAATATGCCTTAAGAGCAAAGACATGATTGTCAACTCAACCTAAGCAGAATTTATTGGTGCTTTAAATAATTTTATCTAAGCTACTCAGACAGAATTTACTTATTTATTCAGATGTTTATTTTAATTATAGTAGTTCATGGTTATTCTTTAAAATAAAAAGAAATGAACTCTGCAAAATCTTTTTTTTTTTTTTTTGGTTAAATGTGTTCACATAACAAATCACTTTCAGCTTTTATAAGTTTAACACCTTAATTTGCTGTCATACTCTTTTTGAATAAAACAATTGATGAGTTTTGATTCGATCACATTGTGATTTTTCAAAGTACCTAACTTAGTTAGTTTTTTTGGTTTGTTTTAATATATAAGACAAGCGGCTCTACGATTGCTGCCATATATTTCAGGTATTAGATACTACACAGGGATATTATAACTAACACCCTCTTATAAAAGCAAACTGGACAAAATGCTTACAAATTCAATTCAGAATGTGATTTCATTGTATTTATCTAAGAAAATAGCACATTTATTTCAAATCCTTCCTATTAACAGTCTTTATAAAGTACATACAGACTATGCTCCAGTTACATTTAACACCATTATTTGGTGCAAATATCTGAAATACTAAACCAAATATTTTAATTTAGCATTTTGACTGTCAAGTTAGGAATTTCATTTTATTCATGAATGTATATAGAACACTTTAAAACTGTAAACACAAAGTAGGTGCTTTTCAAGAAAGCCTTATCAAAGTACCACTGCTAAACACTTTTAACTGTGGCTGAGCAGAGTGACTCTAAAGCTACGTGTGCTGGTTTTACTGGCCACAGTTCATCGTCACAAACTAACTGAATAGTCATTGTTTAGATACGTATGGTGCTCTTTAAAAATGCTCCAAACTGTTTTAGGCTTGAACAGAAGTCACATGGTTGTGCGAAATAGATTAGAAAAGAGTTTGGTGTCATTTCTGTGAAACATAAAAAGAAATGTGATGTAGAGAAGTAAAGTCACGTGAGATGTGTGTGGAGTGTTTCCACGTTGATGTACCGTATTTGTTAGAGAACATTTTGGGTACACGACACAAAACGATATATAAGGGCGAAGTTCAAACAAAACATTTAAATACTTTATTAAGAACTCTGTGTAGAGTTTTTGTAAAAAGGAAAAAAAAGTCTTTATGGAGTAAATGAAAGATAGGGTCTGTGGTTGTGCAATATTCATCATCCCAAACTGATCAACACTCAGACAAAACTTTACAGGAAGTAAATGTAAATGAATGTCTGACCACTTTAATGACAGCTAGTTAAGGAAGTATAACCTTTTAGATTGTTTTTTTGTTTTGTTTTCAGCAGATTGTGTACAGGATTAATCTGCAGCGCTGGCATTCTAATATCATTTCAAAACAAGTTGAATGAATGGAAGATGTTCAGGAGGGAAACAATGTTAAATGGCTTCATTGCTGTAAATATTACTGGTTTCAGGTGGTCTGACTGGCCACAGTCCGATCTGTTCTGCAGGTTAACCAAAGCCATCCGGTCCGGCTTCTCATCCCATTTACTGGTGTCTGTGCCTGTTGCTGTGTATTAGCGGTGACTTGTGTTTGCTTACTTGTGTATCAGGACTATGCAGCAACTTTTACTGGTGTCAGCAATTGGCAGATGTCACTGCACACTTTTCACTTGGTCTTGAGTGATTGATTTAGATCAAAAAGCACCACAAGATAAAAATGAGTGCTGTTTCAGCCTTAAAGACAAATGATTTGAACACAGGGTTTGTAAAGAGTCGCAGCACCTAAACTGTTGGATGTGTTTAGGGATTTTGAATGGAAACAGGAGAAATGTAACGAGTTGTATGTGGTTGAATAACTTTGAAAAATGAAATTTAAAAAGGCCTCATATTTGGCATGAATTTATTTTGCATTTCCATTGTTGGCGTAGTTGATCTAAGACTAGAATAAGAGACGATTCTGATAACTTTGCCCAATACAAGTTGCTGAATAGTCATATCTCTGCAAAGCTTGTTGTGGAAAAAAAAATGTTATGCTGTATCTAGCGTCACATGATGTGCAAAAGTTAAGGGTTTGTAAGTGTTGTAAATGCATGTAAACTTGCTGTGTGATGAGAAAAAAATGTTCACATCAACATATTGTTTAGGAAAATCATTCAAGATAGGGTTTTCATTTTTAATACGCAAATATTTGATATTTGTTTTTTCTAAAAAAAAAATCCTTTGTAAAACTTAATTTCTCTATTTTGTACAGAATATCACTGTAAAGACTGTAAATACAGCAAGGCAGCATTCTGAATGCAGCAACAATCATGGAGTGGGGAGGGGTGGGCATCTTTGGAGAAAAAATATATTTCATTAGAGTTTGGTCCAAAACATGAAGATGAGAGTTCATGGAGGCGTCCATCCATTTATTTGTTTGTTGAAAATAATAAAATACATGTCATCTAATTTCTTGGTTTTCTTTTTGTGTTCAAATTTGACTGTTTGTCCCTTACAAAGTACAATTTAAAGTACTGGGTAAGGTTCTGAAATATAAAGGGGTGTTATTAAAGATATTGCAAAGCCTGAAATCAAAAATATAAATGTTATTCTCCATTATGTTAAATGATGCCATTTAAATGAGTTTACTGCATTGGTTTCCCAGACGTATTGATATGCAATTTGGGAATGCGGGTATGCACTCGGTGTAAACAAAATGGTTCATCTGCATGAATTACATTCAGATTTGTTAAGAAAATTTGTATTTATAGATCAGTACAGTCAAGTTTCTCAGTTCCAAACAGCACTTTCTAAGACTTGGCCGTTGTTGACATGTTTTCACTCACTCCGACTCTTTCCTTGTGTAATCAAACACAAGTAGAAGTTGGCAGCTGCTCACACATTTTGTTTGCAATTTTTAAATTTAGGACACATTAATCAAAAACAAAAGTGTATATTTTGTTTCTTTATGATTTCTTTAACTGGTCTTCATGGCATTGCAATGAATGCCTTTAAAGTGCCCATGACATCAATTACTACATATGAAGAAATAAGTAATAAATGTGAATGCTTTGTTAGAAAGATAACAATAATGTACTGAGAAAAAAACACACTGCTGAGATGAACAGTTATTGAGATCTTCACATGTGCAGTAACAGGAAGTGATGTCAAAGGGGAGCGTCTGCATCACTACAATGACTACCAACGCAGACAGCAGAGAAGAATCTGATGTTTCTTTAGGTTATTTTGAATCCCTATCAGAAAGAGACAAAGAAGAGTCTGGGTTCAAATAATATTCTTTCATTAAACAAAGACCACGAAGTTCCCATTTTTAAAGGGTTCCCCTTTGATGTCACTTCCTGTTTCACTTTGGCTGCACTAAGGTCAAATGGAAATGTGCCAGTGAAATGGCCACAGGGTAAAACCATGTATTTTATAACAGATTTCTTAAAAATTAAGATTGGTTTTTATTTTTCACTTTTTTGTATTTAGGATATCCATGCCACAGGCAATTTAAAGTAACACACAATTATTATTTATTCCATCCATCCATCCATTTTCTTTACCCGTTTGTTCCATTTTGGGTCACGGGGGTCGCTGGTGCCCATGTCCAGCAATCACTGTGGGAGGGGCGGGGTACACCCTGGACGGGTCGCAAGTCCATCACAGGGCCACATAGAGACAAACGAGACAAACAACCATTCACTCTCTCACTCACACCTAGGGACAATTTAGAGTTACCAATCAGCCTAACATGCATGTTTTTGGTCTGTGGGAGGAATCCGGAGTACCCGGAGAAAACCCACGCATGCACAGAGAGAACATGCAAACTCCACCCAGGAAGGCCTCCGGACTGGGGTTTGAACCAGGGACCTGCTCGCTGAGAGGCAGCAGCTCTACCAGTTGCACCACCGTGCTGCATCAGTATTTAATATGAAATGATAATTAACTTTCTTTAAAGAACCTTGATTAGAATTTGCCAACTTGGATATCAGCAAAAGGTGACATTAAATAAACACGAATGTTGTTCCAGACCAGGGGTCTGCAACCTGCGGCTCTGGAGCCGCATGCGGCTCTTTGGTCCCTCTTCAGCGGCTCTTTCAAGCTTTGACCAAAACTGACATAAAACTGAATTTTATTGGTTATACAAACAACAACAAAAAGGACTAGTTCAAATAGTTTTCTTGTTGATTCTTTTTCAAAGATGTAAACACTGGAGTGAGTACAAAGAGAAAAACATACTCACTTTAACTTGGTACTTTGTTTCTTTATATATCTATCTGCATAGTTTATAGATTTTTTTAATTAAAAAAAAAATGTAAGAACAGATTATCCCCCCCCCCCCCCCCTTACAAGAATCTGGTCTTTTTCTTTAATAAATGTTAAAAGTGATTAGATTTTTTTTGCTTTAATGTCACCCCTACTGGCCACAAAAACCTCCTCCAGCAAACCTAAAGTGGCCCATGGGCCAGCAGTTGATAAGCACAGTTGTAGCAGGTTGTAGCGGCTCCGGACACATTTAATGTGAACAAGGGTGTAAACTGGCTCTTTTGATCGTAAAGGTTGCAGACCCCTGGTCCAGACTGTTAATGAGTCATATAATGTTGGAGTCCTGCATGGTGTTATGCTGTTCATTAAGGGGCGGTGTCTCTCCAAGCTGAGCCGTATAAAAGCCTGCTGCTCCCTCAGGAATGATGGCATTGGATACAGATTGAAGGACTTAACTGAGTTGGGAATTAGCTGCGACCTCCAACATGCCGTCCAAGCCTGCCCCGATCAAGAAGGCGGCCAAGAAAGAACCAGCCAAGAAAGAGGAGAAAGCCCCGGAGCCGGCTCCCGAACCCGCCCCAGAGCCTGCTCCTCCCGCGGAGCCTGAGGCGGCCCCGGCTGAAGCGGAGCCCGCCGCTGCTGAGGAGGCTGCTGCTCCTGCAGAGGGTAAGAGCGTGCGTGAGAGCCCCGATCTAGTTCAGTGACACGCCAATACTAGTTTCTTTCACAACGAATGAAGGTTTTTTTTCCTTATTTTAGCCAAAGCCTGGCTTGTTGGCGGGTGCCATGGAAAGCACGCGGTTACTTTTACGCACGTGCGCACAGAGTGTTCTAATTGTTTGTGTGGAGTTTTAAAAGTCAAATTAGTAAAGTGCTTGCTTTAGCTCACAGCTTTCAGCTTCTGGCCTCAGAAAACCCACACGCTTCAGTTCCTTCAACATCTAATGTGCGCCTTCATCCGTGCGTCCGAGTCCTGGAGGCGACTAACACTTAATTCATTAACTAACCAAAAACATCTTTATTTCATCTTTCCCTTATTCCTGATGGGTGGTATTAACATTTCACTGTTAATGCAGTTTAATTGCTAGTATTTATCATATTGGATGCACCTTTACTGTCTTTAAAATCTAACCCTTATTGCTAAGTTTCTACATTTTACAGACCCTAAATACTATTTTTTTATTTTATTTTACAAATCTCTTAATATTTCTAATAATTTTTACTGCACATACTACTGAGATCTCTAATAACCATTACTTAACATTTGATAAACACCCGAAATCTTCTCAAAGAAGATTTGACCATAAATAATATCTAACCAATACTTTTCTAGTTATCTTCTAACTTTAAATATCAGACTCTGCACCTGTTACTGACAAATCAACAACTGCTGTTACTGAGGTCTGGATATTGCATCCAAGCTATCTTTTTATTGCTTCCTGTAAAATAGAAGATCTGAATCTGTAACATCAGCTGCCCCTTATAAATGAAACACCATTTGCTGCTCCTGAAGTCTCTACTCATGGTAAAAAAAAATAATAAAAAAAACCAGAAATAAAAAACATTATTTATTATAATTAAAGTTTTGAAATTTCACTACAGGTCAAACTGACATCATTCTGACACTTTGTAAAGCCTGCAGTCCCAACAAATGATTTGTACGAACGTGTCTCATCTGCTTCATGCACTAATCATTAATGTCTAACATTTAAAAATAGCTGCTGCAGCTCCAGCCACAGACGAAGCTGCTCCTGCTGCAGACTCCGAAGCGCCCGCTCATGGTAAACCTATACCTGCAAACGTTGAAAACGCTTCCTTTCTCTTTCTTTTGGGGAACATTTTACATTACATTCAAATAAGAGCTCTTCTGTGCTGTGAATTACAAATCTGCTTATTTTATTCTCGTGATAATATACTTGTCTGTGTAACATCAGCTGAAGCTGCACCAGCACCAGAAGAACCTAAACCACCAACTCCTCCACCACCCAAAGGTAATTCTATAAAAGAGAGAGAAAAGAAACACTTTCGGTAAATGGCTTAATTATTCTTTTAATGGTCATTCTAGAGCCAACAAGCGCTCCTGTGGATCTGTTTGTTGAGGACAAAAATGACTCTTCAGTCACCATCATCTGGAGCGAGCCCACAACCATTGGAGCCTCCGGTCTGGATGGATACACAATTGAAATCTGCAAGGATGGAAGTGAGTCCTGAACTGTGCGCAGCAGATAACAACATAAAATGGGTCAAGTGGAAGTATTAATACATCGTGACAAGACAAGTTAACCTTTAAATTCTTTTCTGAAAGATTTCCTGTTGACAGCTGCTATTAGCTCCTGGCACGTGCACCTATAACCATTCGTCTGTTTTCAGACCAATAGCGAAGTTTCTTTTTAAACAAACTCGGGGAAATGTGAAATAGCTGTTTCAGTGTGGGTCGGCCGTATCAGTTGCAGCTGTCCCTGAAGTGTCACTCGTAGAGTTACATCTCGAGCTGCCTAACTTCTCCCTAGAAGGAAACAGGCATTCCAGGAGCTGCTCTAGTCCTGCTAGAGGTCCTGCATTTAGACTTACAGTACCAAGCTAACCTCAGCAGTGTTTAACTGCAGGCTCCTTTTAGCACATGTTCACCCAGCAAGTTTAAGTGTTTGGTGAACAAACTCATAAATCTGCAAAATACATCACGCACTGTTCTGATTTACTCATAACGAGCTTCGTTGACCCCAAATCTGAAGTCCTAACTCTGAAGACAGGTGAGATTTATGATGTTCTTGAAGTGCAGGAATGCAAACGACGGTGCTCCTAAAAATAGTGATTTTCATGTTCTGGTAAAATGAAAGCATGACTCGGTTGTTCCTCATCACCATAAGAAAACAGCAGGGCAGTCCCTATAAAAGGACACAAGGCTGCAGGGCTACTAAACACAAATACAAGTTATATAAAAAATACACTATAAGTTGAGACAGAATACCTTAATTAAAGAAAAGCAGGTGTTTAAATAGATGTTTAGTAAGATGTGTTGTCTTTGTGTGCACTCTGGGAAATAGAAGACCATGTGTCATGAGTATTTTATGGATGTAAAATGTTATTTTATGCGGTTCAGATAAAATGTTGGCATTCATACAACCTTTATTTATACAGGTTAATCCCATTGAGCCTCGGGGACTCATTTACAAGAGAGACCTGACATTAATGTTTAGATCCTGGTAAAGCAGCAGAAAATGTGTCATCGTGCAAAAATATGTCTCTTGTATTTATGTAATATGTTTGGTATTTTCTCAAGTATTAGTATGGTCTTTAATGTGGTTTTTCAAATATAAGAAAATGAACTTGAATATGAAATCGTAATATAAGTAACGTTTGAATTACAATCTTCAAAATTCTGGATTTAAAGTAAAGATAATTAGCATTGTACATGTTAGAACTGTTTCAAGTTTCAGTAAAAAAAAAAAAAACTAATCAGGAAACTGATGACATCATTTTGGGTTAGTGGGTTTAAAGAAGAACTTGTCATCTGAAGGATGAAAAAGAATCGGCGTCTTTTCAGGTCAGTGTTTGAAGCTCCATCCTCTTCATCGTGTGTCATGTCCCCCACAGCTGATGACTGGAAGGCAGTGAATGAGACTCTGCAGAAGTCCAGTCGTTTCGTTATCAAGAACCTGACCACCGATGACCGCCTGAAGATCCGCGTGGTGGCTGTGAACGAAGGAGGTCGCAGCCCCCCTGTTGCCCTCCCCGAGCCTGTTCTGGTCAAGGAGGTTGCTGGTAAGCCATGTTTGGGAAAAAAAAAAAAAACACAAGTGTTAGAACTATTTTAAAACCCAGATCCAATATTTAACGACGGCTTGATCATTCACTGAAATATGAAAAATGATAAAAATGCACACGCAGTAAAAAACAAACAAACTGATAGGTTGAGACTTTCTTCAGGAGCTGAAATGTCTCATTATCTCAACATATTTCATAGTGAGGCTAACCACATATAGGAGTCAAGCAAAAAGAGCTTAGCAGTGTTTCCCTCTCAGCTTTCTCTGTCCTGTTGGCACATACCTGCAGCATTAATGGTAGAAAACTTTGGGCCACCCCCTCGTTTCCACTTTGACGTGTTACAGCGATCCACTCAGCCTAAGTGCGATTAGTGGGTGGGTGGTGATGCTCCACACCTGACAGTGTTAATCACTGACAGTATAACTCAAGTGATTTGTGGTAAAATGATGATTGAGCCCAGAGGGCTTTAAAAGGAGGAGCAGCGTCATCGTTCTTTGCGAGGAAAGAGGAGGGAGGGGGGAAAAGCAACTTGATCCCAGCTTGACTTGCCAATGTTCAGGCCGCAACCGCAGCAGGTGCTCCACGTTCAAAAACAATCCAAGAAGGGTTTCTCACAAAATGTTTGAGTTCTTTTGGAAAATGGCTGAGATGTTCTTTCTGAGATTGGATTGTGGTGTAACCTCTGCCAAGATTGAGGCTGAGCAGAAGGGCCGGGGTAATTTCTGTAAGATAGATGGTGACAAGTGAGCTGACTGCAAGGAGGTGGGGGCTGTGAAGAGGCGAGGAGTGGGGGCAGGTGGTGAATTCCAGTGGGTCCCTGTCTCCGAAAGAGGGGGTGGAAGTTCTGCGTTCTCAGATGACGCCCAAATCCAATGACAGCTCCCAAAAGTCACTGTTTATTTTCCAACATATCACAGATTTTACAGGGAGAACGCTCAATCACCTCCTTAACATGCAGCATGTCTTCTACATGGGGCAAAAAACACCTTTTCACATTTTTTAAGTATTTTTCGGACTATAAGGCGCACCGGATTATAAGGCTCACTGTCAATTTTTGAGAAAATTAAGGGATTTTAAGTGTGCCTTATAGTCCGAAACCTACGGTATATCAACTATTAATTTATGCCTATAAACAAGTTTCTAATAAGACACCAACTGACAGTTTCAGTAAGTTTGTGAAGTATTTTGATGCGACTGAGTCCTGCAGAGCTCGTGTCACGCAGAGAGCTGACATAGTGAAAGCTACAGTACGCCTGCTTTATTTAGAGTCATGACAAGTGTTGCCGTGCTGCTCTCAGCAGGTGGTGAGCTGCGTCCAGCAGAGGCTTCAGTTTTACGTCCAGCGCCACAGTGGCTAACTAGCTGTGACACTTTAATTGTGTTTATGTAACGTTTTTGCGATGTTCTCGATAGCCTGGAGATGATACTTAATGGAGTGAAGTCAAAAGCATTGAGGGCATTTTCATTAATATTGCTCTGTTTTTATTTTTCTAAAAACATGTGGTTCTTAAAAAGTTCTCTGAAAAATGTGCTTTTGTTTTGCTGTTGTCAGGCAAAAAACTTATATCCAAAAAAATACAACTTTTCATGAATTAAACTTTTTTTTTTTTTTCTTCAGTTAAATAAACCGTGTTGTCACAAAGCTTCTTGACACTTTTTGTTGATTTAAACTTTAACCCACTTTTTGTTTTTCGGGTCACGAAGGTCACTGGTGCATGTCCAGCAGTCACTGTCCGAGAGGCAGGGGACACCTTGGACAGGTCTCAAGTCCCTCACAGGGACACATAGAGACAAACAACTATTCACTCTCTCACTCACACCTAGGGACAATTTAGTTACCAGTCAGCCTAACATGCATGTTGTTGGTCTGTGGGAGGAAACTGGAGTACCTGAAGAAAATCCACGCATGCACAGAGACAACATGCAAACTCCACCCAGAAAGGTCCCCAGCCAGGATTTGATCCTGCAACCTTCTTATTGAGCGGCAACAGCTCTACCAACTGAGCCACCATGCATGAGAATAAATGATGATCTAATGACTAGAACTCTGTGAAGAGTTTGGCTCATCCTTTTGTTAGAAAAAAGTAACTCAGCCAAACGTAGCGAAACATCTTTTACATTTCATCATATTTTCCTGTATTAATGAGCATGTATTAATAACCACAGAGCAGTTTGTTTGCAAAAATACATCCATTGCCAGAGTTTACCTCTTTTTTTCTTAAATGAGACAAAAAAATGTCATTGTGCTCTAAACAACCAAAAAAACTGAAACTCAAGGGGAACAGCTTGGTTCGCCATAGCTCTGTCAACCATAAACCACTTAAAACTGGGTGCAAACTTGGTATGTGTCTTCATCTCCTGGAATGAGGGGGGTGTAACCTTCGATTTTTTTAGTTTCTTCTGAGAATGAATATAAACATCCTAAGTAGACAGTTACAGCTATTTCATTTTTGAACAATGCCTCAGATGTAAAATAAGATTTAAACTCTCCAGCATGAAGTTAAACAGATTAAAACCTTCTTGAGTCAAACAGTTTATTACCGAGCCAAGTTTCTGTCATGTGAGGGTGTAGTATGTGCTTGTGTTGGATTCTTTGCTCCATTTCAGCTCGAATAGGTCTCATTTGTAACCCAGTGGATGAAAGTTGGCAACAAAACAGAATCAAGCTGTCTGGTTGTGCCAGCCTGACTTGTTTGGATACTGCTTCTTTCTTTCTGCTTTCTGACTCCACTGAAAAATGTTGTTGCTGTGTCCATTCTGTTTCTAAACTCAGCCAAGCATGTTTAGAACTGTTCCCCTTAAGCCAAGAAACATAGTAGCAGAAGGTAGATTGTGCAGTATCGGCCATCCAAGTACAAGTCAATGAACCATCAGCATAATTTACTGGTTTTTTTATATATATAATTATCTTGAGTTCTGCTGAGTATTTTCAAACCAACCTGTGTCTGTGCAAGTCATCGCTATAAAATCTCCACATGCATTACCAGGTTTATATAAAAGGAGGAGATAAGTTGGTCATAAACATTAGAAGGAAAAGTCTTCAACCGGTGTGGGATGAACGAGACAGAAATGTGAAGGAAAAGTTAAAAATGTGAGTCATTAAAAACTTGTTTGCGTTGAAAAAAATGAGGGAAAAGCAGCTGGTCTAAAACAATTTCTCATTTTTATTATAATTTATTATTTGATTGAAATAGTTTTAATAACAGGTTAGTTAAGATACGAAGGCACATATTACATTTTATTCATTTTATTATTGCTCTGTTTGCTGGTAAAGCACAATATCATGTGGAAAACAAGTTTTACACCTGAGAGAAAAGGAAATGATGAAACTTTAGAATGAGTAAAATGGTTCTGAAATAGATCCATCACGAAACAACATAAAAATGTGGACTAATTTTAATTATTTGTTTGTGTTTTTCAATTGCTTAGACCGTCCCAAGATCCGTTTGCCTCGTTACCTCAGGCAGCGGTACGTCGCTCATGTTGGAGACAAGGTCAACCTGACCATCCCGTTCACAGTAAGCAGGATACAGCTGCCTGTCTGTCGCATGTAAAATAAACAGAAACTCACTGTATGATTTGTTTTTTCCTCAGGGCAAACCCAAACCTGTGGTCACTTGGACAAAGGGAGGTCAGCCCTTGGACCCAAAGAGGGTCAACATCCGCAGCACCGAAAGAGACAGCATCTTGTTCATCCGTGCAGCCGAGAGAGATGACTCCGGCGTCTATGACATGTCCGTGAAGGTGGAGGGCTTCGAAGACAAGGCCTCACTCACCCTTCAAATCGTCGGTGAGGAAAATATTAACGCAGTGAGGTGATGGTTAAATTAGTACGAGATAGCTAATCTGTTCACGTCGACGCTCAGAGCTGCCAGGGCCTCCTGCCACCGTGAAGATTGTGGATACCTGGGGCTTCAACGTCGCTCTGGAGTGGACCGCTCCCAAAGACAATGGAAACACCGAGATCACAGGATACACAATCCAGAAGGCCGACAAAAAGACTGGAGTAAGATCTCAGAGTGAAAGAGGGTTTACGTACTGTTTAATAAATGTGGTGGATAATTTCCAAAGCGTATGAACAGAAATATAAATAGTATATTTACATTACTTTGTCGAATGGACTTTCTTGTCACTGTCCTGCAGGACTGGTTCACTGTGTTAGAGCATTACCACCGACTGAACGCCACCATCTCTGACCTCATCATGGGCAACACCTACAAGTTTAGAGTGTTTTCTGAAAACAAGTGTGGAATGAGCGAGAGCGCCGCCGTTACAAAGGAAGAGGCCAAGATCTTGAAGACAGGTAACTTTTTATCTTCTGAAAGTGACTCCGAATTTGAAATTAAATCGTCAGCTAATTCAGATTGATGTTGTTCACTCATTTTAATCTGATCGGAGTATTTTCTGGAATAGTGTTTTTTTTTTTTAATTAAGAGAATTTCTGGCTTTTGAGGGATATGTAAGTGTTGCTTTATTGATTAATATCCCAGGGGGTTTCTCAGTTTTTCTTTTTGACATCCACCATTCATTTTCTGCATCACACTGAAGATGAAAGGGCTGTGATGATCGATGCATGCATTTAGGACTACGTTCGTACCATTGGGGTGGGAATAGATAAATTAATTTGAAATTAATTGCAATAGGTGCTAAGTGAAAACGCCACTGTGTTCAATCTGAGAGCCTTTACCTGAAGCTTGTCTGGTTCATGCCATCCATCAGGTATTGAATACAAACCTCCAGACTACAAGGAGCACAACTTCAGCGAGGCGCCCAAGTTCACCACAAATCTGACCGACAGAAGCACCACTGTCGGCTACAGCACCAAGCTGTTATGCTCCGTCAGGGGATTTCCTAAGGTACAGTAGCAACTCTTCATCATGCATGTCTGAGCTGACAGATCCAGCAGGAAGCAGCCCCACAAAACAAACGAAAAGACAAAAAAATATCTGTCGAACTGGATTTTTTTTTTTATGGACCCTTTTTTTTTGGTTTTATTCTAATCTATAAAACATATATTCTCTACATGTTAAAGTTGGCATATTGATCATGTAAAAAAAGAATAAAGTTTTCTTAACTGTGCAGCATAGTGAGTTAAAAGCTATTCTGCTGGGTTGACCCTGTATAAAGACTGATGTGCTCAAAAGAATTCAAATTAGGAGGAAAAAAGCCAAGTAAAAGTAATGAGGGTGTAATATTATTTTTATAAAAGTGCAAAAAAAGATTAAAAGAAAGTACTAATAAACTCTCCTGCAGGTAATTTAGTAAAACAAAGACTAAATAAACATTGTTTTTCACCCTAAAGCCTCAAATGGTGTTATAAACCTGTTGAACATTATTAGAAACACTACTACTGATTATAATCCTTCCACCTCAACTTCTAATAGTTTTTATGTCACTAGTATTTTCTAACAATCATTGTTAAAAGTTTTTGCTATTCCTTTAGCTTTATTACATATATATATATATATATATAGGCATTTTAAACCCTTCCCACACATTTGCTATATTCTAAACAATGTTTCTAAACTCTACTGCTCTAAAAGAGCACAGAATGTCATGATTTCAGCTCCGCCTCCTCTGCTCTTTGCCACCTGCAAGCGCTCTTGGCCACGCCCACTTCTCCGCTCTGCATGCTGAACAGCTGGTCAGCTGATCATCTGCAGCATGAAGTTTATCCTGCAGCTCTGGACTGCACAAATGTGCAGCAGGTGCTAAATAATTTGAAATAATTTATTTAAAATAAAAATTCCATGCTGACCGTGCGGCTCATCCATCCATCAGCCAGTAGTGTGTCATGTCCAATCTTCTTTTGAAAAACTGTGATAGAACGAGTCCGCGATAATCGCACCGCGAAGTAGCGAGGGACTACTGTAATGCCAAGCAAACACTTGCTTTGCTGTCTTTAATATTACATTATCAGCCACTAACTGTATTCATTGAATTTAAAAGTGTTTAAATGAAGTATCCTGTCACTGATGTTTAAAATCTGTTATTCTCACTCAGTGCATAATCTCTCTTTGTCAGTACCAGAACTGCTGTAGGCAAAGATCTTGGTCTAACACATTTCTACATCTGGTCATGTTTTTAAACAATAATGTTCATTTAAAAATTAGACACCAATGATGGGGCAAGCTGCAGCTACCTGTCAGCAGCAACGCATTCCCTCCATCGTTCAGGCTCTGCTGTCGGTGTGGAAGATCTTCACCTGCCTCTGCTGGACTCTCACCTTCTTATTTGGCTCACAACCAGCCAGGTCGCCAGCAGGACAGAACGTCAACAGAATTCTTTGTAGAGGCAAGGGAAGAGGAGAAGTCTGTGACGGGGAAGCTGGGTCGCATGTGTAACATTCTGTGTTGCTGCCTGAGGGCTTCTCACCATGTCCCTGCCATTAAACCCCCCATACCAGGGGAGTACTGTGTATCTGCTTCAACCCAAATGTGTTTGTTTTGGAATGGCCGGCGCGTCTCGTTTGTTCCTGAGCTCCTGTACTGTTTGTTTTATTCGTCCAACATTGCGTTAACATGTTTTTTTTTTTTTCTTTCTACAGCCCAAGGTTCAGTGGATGAAGAACCAGATGATTATCGGAGACGACCCCAAGTTCAGGCAGATCTGCGTCCAGGGAATTTGTTCTCTGGAGATCCGAAAACCCGGTAACTTCGACGGCGGCGTGTACTCCTGCAAAGCCATGAACGATCTCGGAGAAGTAACCGTCAGCTGCAAGCTGGAGGTCAAACGTAAGTTTTGGCTCTTTAAATCCACGATGTCATCATAAGGTTGTAAGTTATTTGCTTTGTTTGCCAACTTTTGAGCTTTGACCGAACTTTCTGTTCAACAGAGCCTGTGATTCCAGACGCGGACAAGAAATAGGTTAACATCTTCTCAATCACAGGTGACACGGATCGTGCTTTAAATACCCACAGTACATTGTGTTTTACTCCGATTTCTCACAAGATGTGTGGTTGAATTACATTTAAAACATTCAGAAAAAGACTGTCAGGTAAAACAATGATTTCACAGGATAGATTTAAACGAGCGGATTCCTCCATGACTTACATGGAGCGTCTGCCCATACATGGAGGTAACTAAACTTGGAAAAGGTGGCCTCTGCTGCTGAACGGGTTCAAGTAGTAGAGGCCATAAATTAAATCAGAAATAACTCCTGCACTCAGTCTGATGACTTCTTCACATTTCCTTAACTCAGCGGCAGCTTCCTCCCTAGAACATCAATTTAGCATTAGAGTACTTATTAGTATTACCAGCATAAATTATTAGGAGCCATCATTCGTGAACAAGAGATTTATTTGATTTTAACGCAGTTTTGATGTGCTGTCAACTTAACAAAAATGTGTTTGTTGCTTTCCCAAAATTAGGAGCAGAGGGTATGCGGAAGTTTGTAGCATAAGGTGCGTGACTTAAATTCTCTAAAACATTTGATCATAAACATTTAAAAAGTACTTTAAAGTTCTAATACTTTGTATTTTTGCCACAACAGGAGGGTGTTGGATTCCTGGAAGAACATGTATATAGATGGCTGGTGATCACACTACAAACAGCTGTAGCCTGTGACCTCTCAACGAGTTTGAGGATCTGTTAAGATGAACAATTACTGTCGTCGCTTCGTCCCAAAATCTCCATTATTAAGTCCATATCCATGTCCACAAGTTGATTTATTTTTCCTCTTTAAGTTTTTGTTTTCCCGGAACACTCTTAATGATTACTCAACATGTTCAAATCTTGAAACATCTTGTTAGTCTTACTCGAATGAATGTACTGTTCCTCATAAGAGAGCCTACATGTAACATCTGTGTTTATATCAATAAACAGTTGATTTCTGGTTTTCATTTGTTTTTAATGCAGTAAATTTATATCACTGTTGAACATTTCTGCACCGATGTATACGAAGAAAATTAAATAGAACAGTCATTGTAGTTAATTGTTATAGTTCAAGTGCATGAAGATTTAGTAACGCGTATGCTGTAATTAAAGTTGTGTGGTCTGATGTGTCCAGATGGAAGTGATGGGTGGATCAGGGTAAGATGAGCTGAGGATAAAAATATTCACTCGACATACCTGGTGCCCATGGTACCAGCCTGAAGGGGCCGTCATCTGTGGTTTCTTCATTAAACAGGTTCATGACAACATTTTATATTAATTGTTTCTTTTCATACCCAAGTTCATGAAAATTTTGCAGCGTTATCTCTAAAATGGGTCGAAACGCTCCACAGTGCAATTAATTGGATAAACGTGATTAGTACCAAAGCAGTGGACATTTTTCAAAATGCTCAAAGATCTTCTGCTCGTGGCCACTTAAAGACTAAATGTCAGTCTGGTTTATAGAAAGCAGAATACAAATATAATAAAAGCAACACGAAACTGGTTAATTTTTTTTTATTTTAATTATAGAATTTTACTAAGAGTCGTTGCACATCAGAGTGTATAAAACACCATTTCAGAAAATGCATTTATACAGACAAGCCAGCCGAGCTGTAACTTCAAGCTGCTTTTATTGTTTCTGCAGAATCCATGAAGTGTTTCTGGCAGAAAGTCAATTTTAAACTAGAGATGGCAGCACTATTCATTTGGCTCGTACAAACCAAAGAGCCCATCGCAGCATGCCAGGACCTCAATAATAATAATTCCACTCTAAAGTACTGATCTTGTAACTATTTCTTTTTGGAGTTGCTTGCATAGTGATAGGGGCAGGGTGCCAGGGATATCCAGGTTACAGAGACACATTAGTTCGCCTAGAGGATGACAAAATTAGCCCCGGTGTTCCATCTTGTTCAGGGTATTTTAGGAACAAGTGGCTCAGCTGGTAAGATGAGCTTCTACAGTGTTTGTTACCTTAACCGAGAGAGGAAAGTAAAGGTAAAGATGAAAACTTAAACATAAAATTAGAAGCAAAATGAAGTTAAAGGCATAGTTTATAAGAACTAAAACTCCGTTGTCCAGATTTGTGTGCCAGAGTAAACATCAGTTGATATTCCATGTTTCTGTGTTGAGTTTAGATGAGTGTTGACAGACTTGATGCAGAATGAGTGGCCTCAGTCTGCACACTGAGCTTCCAATCAAGGTTTTAAACAGGCTCAACTTTTCTGTTGTAGCTTCCTCTTGTGGTCAAATTTAGTAATTACAAGGGGATGCACAAAAATGAATTTGGTTGGAAAACTTACAATTCTTGATCTAAAATATATATATTTGTCAGGTAGATGGGGGGAAAATACCAGCAGCTAATAGCTCCTTTATTTTTCTTGTGAATGTCTCATACTGCTTCCTTCATTTTGTAAGCACTTCTCTAATTTGGAAAAAGAGCCACATTGGATCTCAGCCCTACTTCCAGTGGGTCCCTGGGTGCTGACATGCTGCAAAGGGGTCATGAAGTGACAGACTTTCTATTTTAGATCCTGCTCAAAGAGGTTTAAAACCCCAAATTAACTTCAATAGCACGTGAGTAAAATATAACACAAATGTTGAAGTTATGTTAAAATGTATTTTCAGTGTCTTTCAGTTTAATATTTCTTAGTCTTTCAATTATCCACCATTGATTAAGAAAATAGCAAATTCTCCTATCAAGACTGGTTTAGGGAATTTTTGAATTTTTATGTTGATAAATAGTTGATATTTTTTTACCTGAGTGGTTGAAGGGCTCTAGGAGCATTATAGACATTTAATGTAAAACAAGTCTAATTTTCTTCTATGTTCATCTTAAGGATGAAACTTTGAGTTCAGGATTCTTCCCAGAGCTCTCTGAAGGATCAGCAGGTCAAAGGTTTTGATTTCTGAATTAAATATCTTAAGCACATGTAAAAATCTTAGGAAAAACAAGATTTTCTGGATGAATTTAGAGATGCGTTGCCTCTGGGTTTCTCACACAATCCAATTTCAATTCAGTTTTTCAATATAACGACAAGTCACAATAAAATGTAAGTTAACATTATTTATTTGAGGAGCAGACTGCTTTGAGTTTAACTCCATCGCAGAACTCTCATCTTGAGCAAGCACGAAGGCGACAGTAGAAAGGAAAAACTCCCTGAGGAGGAAGAAACCTTTAGCAGAACCAGGCTCAGGACAAACGTCCGTCTGCTTCGATTGGCTGGGTTTGAGAGGAACAGATACACAATGGCAGGTCGAGAATCACATGTTAAGATAGAAATAATATCAAATGAAACTAAGGAAATTAGGTCAATTTGTCCTCGAGTGGCGTCAGCATAACAAGCCAACCCTAATTTATCAAAAAGCAAAGTCTTAAGCCCAGTCTTAAAACTGGACAATGTGTCAGCCTCATGGACAGAAACTGGAAGTTGGTTCCACAAGAGAGGAGCCTGATAACTGAAATATCTTCCTCCCATTCTGCTTTTGGAAACTCTAGGAACCACAAGTTAACCTGCAGTTTGAGAGCGAAGTGCTCCATTGGGAAAACATGGAACAATAAGATCTCAACTATAAGATGGAGCTAGGTTGTTGAGGGCTTTGTAAGTTAGAAGAATGATTTTTGAATTATATTCTGGATTTGACAAGGAGCCAGTGGAGAGAAGCTAAAACTGGAGAGAGATGATCTCTCCCATTAATTCCAGTTAAGACTCTGGCAGCAGCATTTTGGATCAACTGACGACTTTTTAAAGAAGTATCTGGACACCCAGATAATAGAACAAGGCATTAAAAATGTATAAAGACAAACTGAACTGTATTTTTTGATGAAGACAACGTGTACAACTGTTGAAGTGTCACAGAATTTGTTGCACGTGTTTCCACGAGGTGGATTATAGTAATGTTGGTGATCAATAAGGGCCCAAGTCCTAAAGTTTCTTCATCATAATTGAATATATTTGAGTTTCAACAGAAGCTCAACCTCTAAAGTGCCTCTTAACACTTTGTTGTGTCTCAGCTTGAACTCATCAGTTTGAACTCTCATAACTTTTCTTCTATAATTTGTATGTGCAAATGTCTCTTCTATTTTTAGCCTCTTATGATTTATAGCCACCACAAGTCAGTGACTAAAATTCTCTGGTTTAACACCTGAATTCACCCAAAACCTTTGCGTTCCTCTCAACAGAGACTGAATCAAATCACCTTAATGTTCCTGTAAGAACAGTTAGCTCACATGCTGCAGCGTCTCTGACTCATCCGGGGGGGTTGCTCTTATTGTTATTGATGCATCGAGCACTGCCCGGTCTACTGATTCGTCAGGGTGACTCCAAAGGCGATGAAATGGTCTCTCTTTCTCTCTTCAGAGGAGCCTAGTCGCCTTTTTGCTGCAGAGTTTTGGCAACTTTCCCAAAACTTCTAATAAGTATAATGGTGAAACTGGCGCTCGCCCCAGAGCCCTGTTGTTGTTTTCCATTAACAAATGTTCCACTTCTAAATCAGCTGGGTAGACTGTCAAGACACACGTCTTATTTCCCTCACATTTAGGCAGTTGAGGACTGAAATTCCTTTGGTATTTATTGTAAAACAATGTGAGCAGATGGTTGTAATTTTTGACATGAGCTAACAGGGTGACCTTTTTTTAATGTGTAGTTTCTAGATATATAGTCAAAAAGACATAATGAGCAGGTTTCTCCCATATCTTATGAAATATTTAGGTTTATTCTAAATTTGAGAGGGGGGAAAAAAAGTAATTGTGATTTTTGCTGGACTTGCCAAACAGAAAGAAATAGAGAGAGAGATAAATAAAACGTTCCATCCGCCTGCTGTATACTGCAGTAAAGCCAGCCTGGTTCTCTGCTCCTCGCACCTCCCTGTAGCTCGGAGCTGCAGAGTTCAGGCGACCAGGAGGTGTGGGACCTCCGAGACTGCTGCTTACCATCCTTACCTCTCTTTTCATCACTCATTGATTTCTCCTGCTTTTACACCTCCCTCCTTTTTCCTTCTGCGTCTCATTCTCAAAGCTCAGCACTCCTTCGCAGCTCGAGAGAAAGAGAGAGCGAGGAAGAAGTGATGGAAGAAAAGAGGAGGAGCACCGTTGTTGGTGCACCAAAGAAAACCTGGTCCCCTCCCTTTACCCAGTTGATGACACAGAGATTTTTTTTTTTTTTTGGATCAGCTCTTCAGCCAATCAGTGAACAGTGCCGGGAAATACAGCAGTAGAACTCCACTGGTCCTGATGCGAGCACTGGTTTCAGTGCTGGGACTATTTGTTAATCTGCGTGAGTGTTTCTCGTCCTCTCAGCCTCGTCTGAGCTCACGTCAGCAGCGCCCCGAGCCAAGACATTTTGTTTGTGTGCATCTGTTGGGGAACACAACTTCCCAGGTGATAACTGGAACCTGCCACTGCTGAGATTTATTCTTATTTTGTGTGTCTTTTTTAAATATCCTGTCAGGGAGCGATGCTAAAAGCAGTTTGTTGAGATTTATTTTTTTATGTCACAAGATTTTTTTTTCCGTTATCTGCTTTCACTTTTGGCTGACAAAGCAGAACATTTCTCTTAAGGTAAGCAGCATTTTCCTCTTGACTAACATCTATTACAGCAGCTTTGCTGTGTGGTGGATCATCACAGAGTTTCATTACATCCTGCCTGGACGAGGAAAGAAAACTGCAGAGAACCACAGATAATAATTGGTCCAGGGGTAATTAGAGCAGACAGTGTTCGCCTTTCGTTTTAATGCTGACAGTTTTCTGTCAGAGTGGAACTTTTAAAACGTGCTCGTCAGGCCTACAGCTCCACGCGTAGCCTCATAGTACTGCAGTATCTTGTTACATAATAGAAACAAGCCCGTTTGAACAATTTGAAATGGAAAATTATAAATGCAAACACAAAATTGCCTCTCAGTGGTTGAACACAGGTATAGGATGTTATTGAGATCTGATCATCTTTATCATGAAAAAGTAGCTGCTTT